AGGCCTATACTCCTTTACTTAGATATATCTTAAGTCATTCAATAAGATAGGAAGCGACTATATATTCTACTCCTTCTTTCTACGGTCTTTAGCTACTTCCATAATAGATCCTAAACCTTGTCCCCCGGACAAGAAGGAAGGTCTTAAGAAATAAAAGATATAAAAAAACAGAAGAAAAATAGAGTAGAGGAAGATTAATATACTTCTTACCTAGGAACTAATCGTTAAGACCTTAACGAAGATTAAATAGCGAAAACTAAATAATTAAAAAGTTTAGCCTTATAGGTATAGCTTACTATATATACTATACTAAGATACGAAAAGTATACGAAGTTTCGCTAGGATTAAGTAAACTAAAGTAAATACGAGATAATCCCTAAGAGTAGAATAAATTAGAATTAGAAGCGACTTTAAGATTAGGAAAACGTATTATATTTTTTCTAATATTAATATAGAACGTATATAGCGCTATACTAGAACGCTACTTTTTACCTACTACTCCTATACTCGAGGACGAGTATACTTCGGGAGAGGAGGGTAATTATTACGAAATAGGACTACGATAGACTCTAGAAGTACCTATTCTATACTAAGACTAGTCCTAAAATACTAAGGGGCCTAGTATATAAGACCTTAGGGGCTATACGAATTATATATAAGGTTTTAGGACTCCTTAAGTTCTTATAGTCGATATTCTAAGGACTATATAGTAATTAATCGATTATCTTAGTGTTCTCGTTAAGTTACTTATACTCTTATATTATATTTATTCGGGGGATAAGGTTTAGGATCTATAGTAGAAGTAGCCGAAGACCGTAGAAAGAAGGAGTAGAATATATAGTCGCTTTCTATCTTATTAAATAACTTAAGATCTATCTAAGTAAAGGAGTATAGGCCTATTTTATATAGGCGTAGGCTCCCTCGTAATATCTCGTAAGTACGAGAGTAATAGCCGAGTATTCGTAAATACGAGTTAACTCCTAGGATACTTAGAAATTAAGTTAAGTAATTTCTAATCCTATAGAATAGAATAGCGTTTTATAGAATCTTCCGTAAGGCTTAAGTATAGCCTTACCTAATGGATAATACGTAATCCTAGCTTATATAAGCCTAATCACGTAACTAGGCGTTGATAGGGTATCGCTTAGTCTTAATAGGACCCCCGTAAAGTCATTCGATCTCATTAAGTCCTATAAAACCTTTAAAATAAGTAAATACTACCGACTACGCCGCCGTCACGCAAGCAAGCCTAATACATACCGCATAATATTTATACGCCACTCACTAGGCAGTAGATCCGGTAGTAAATAGAGTCAATTTTAGCCCAGGAGACCCTTTCACGTCTAATGCGTCGATTGCTCCAAAAGATAAGCAAGGCAATTGATCGACTACAGTGGGATATTACCCTAAAATCGTAGGAACTCACTATTCAGCGTACATAGCTAAATGAGCTAACTACTACGAGGCAACGGCGAGTCGCAATCGACTGTAATAAGGTCTTTACAAGTATCGAGACAATGAGGCAAGCGAGGGAGGGTATGGAGGCCTTACAAGCGGCGGCGACGACGACATCACGCTTACCTACAACTACTACTACCTAGGATGCACGGACAAACGACGTACTCGCTCCGTACACCAGTCAATTTAGTATTCATGAGGCCGTAGAGTAGACAATTTATGAAATAGTAGTTGGGGTGGCAATATCGACGCGTGGCCCATTACTAGGGTGTCCGACTTATGCTTGCGCCGTCCCTCTCTAGCTATAACCCTAGTTATATACACTTTGTCGCGTCTAGAGCAGGCGCTGACTAGTTCACGGTCTTGTCAGCTGGCGAATTGCCATAGTATAACGATAATTAACTCGTACACATAGCCCCGCCTTCATACACAGATTATAGCTTTGCTCCCTAATTAGCCGTGTGGTCGTGTCCCAGGGTCCGCAGTGCGCGCAGCAGCTATGCTCGCCAACGATCTCGTTGGCTACTGTCATTCAACCGGAACACGCTTGTGACATGTAGGACGGCGCTGTCCTGCATGTCACCCCAGCCGCGGCCTCGTTCCTGAAACCTAATTCCTCGTGGCTCAGTGCACGAGCCTGTACATGTATCCACGTCCCCGCGCCGCATCAATACGTACCCATCTATCATCCCGAACGCGTGCACTATCGCCACCTCCTTCGGCAGCGGAGGCAGGAGAGAATTCGGGATAGCTTTCGGTTTGATATACGATAGAATTAATAATAGTTCGGACGCTGCGGGATCCGATTTTAGATTTTATGGAACGATACTAGCTACTTAGTAGCTCGTATATCGCGACCCTGACGACCGAATCGAATGGTAAAACTCTCGACTTATTAATTCGACTACGTCCTATTCGGTTCCCCATAGTAGTTCTACGTACTTAGTCATCTCTACCCAATTTCTGTTTAGGTACACCGCCGCCTGTACAATCGCTAGTAGAAGATAGGTCAGCTCCAAGATTGTGCTAGCTCCGCATTCAGGGTATTTCAGATCTTGGCCTTCGAATTATTATGGGAGCTTTGAATGATCGGTTGTTGGAAAAGGCTGTTATTGACACAGTCTCCTCTCGACGGAGATTTTTGAGCATGTTGTGTAATTTGCATCTACTAATGATGATAGTTCGGCTTCCAGTATCGTCATTTCGCCTGGCTCCACGGACAAGATCAAGTATTGCTTTGATCTTAGGCTCATCTAGATGCCAAAACGTGGGGAACCCGAGAATGATGATGTGCAACTTCGCCGGTGCTGCCTGGAAAGCAGCATCCAAAATCTTGGTCGCTGTTGTGAAGTCCACTTCGTGAGAAGAGCCACGATGTCTGAGTGTCGTCCAAATTGGATTAGACAGTTCATCCTCTCTGCAAACCTTTTGAATGATGTCTAACGCTAGTGTTAGCATTGCAAAGATGACATCTCCGCTGAGCCTGTGTCCACAGTCTGATTCTTTGCGATGAGGAAGCTGTCCAAACATTACAACCGGTAGTTTTGCTTCGTCTATGACCTTTCTTGTCTGTTCTGCAACAAAGTGGTCAACCCTAGAGTTCTGATCACTTGAAAGAAACTCCAGATATAATAACCGCTGTGCGGGAGTACAAAGCCATTTATTGATCGCTTGCGCGAGCCTGTGATCGAAAAGCGTTTGAGAAGGTATCGAATCAATTCTCATAGCGCAGGAAAAGTGTTCCACATGCCATGACGCGAGCTGTTGAAGCAGTTCGTGAACGTCGTCTACCGACATAGAGAGAGAGGCAGAAACGTCAGAGGCAGCTGCCAGGATCAGATTGCTTGTCTCAGTACTTCCGAGTTGCGGAGTCATGCTACGGGGCATTGGGCAGTACTTAGCGTCTGCCCTGAACGTTGACAGCAATCCTTGGGTAATTTCATGTTGTTTGAGGTTTTCGCCATGTTGCCAGAGCATATACTCAGCTAGCGCTCGTAACTCACCCGACAGCCCGATCCGGGCATCCTTCAGTTCTCCTCTGAGCTGTTCGACATCAAGTCTGACCACGCGCACTTCAGCCTGTGATCCGAGCGCTGCTGCATTGCGGACCGCTGCTGCTTGGTCTTTGATAATATCAACGGATTTTCGAAATCGTTCTGAGAAGTCCCGGTGAAGACTGTGGAGGGCTTTCGAGGCACTCGATGACTTGTACCATAGAATTGCGTCGCCAAAAAAGAGAAATACAGCGATATATAATTTGGCAATGGCAATTTGCATGTACTGACTCCGAATCAGCTTTGAGTCAACAGTGCAAAGACCGATGGCGTCACTGATGGAGTCTAAAGCATTGCTAAGCTCTTCGATCGTTTTTGAATGGTTGACGGACGCCTGTGGAGGAGAATTTAGTATCCAAAATCGGCTTTCATTGAAGACAATCAGGCATATGAAAACAAATAGAGGAAGATTTCCGCTAAAACTCACCTTGACGAGAACCGTGGCCGCGCCTGCCACTAATGAGGTATATGTATTGGAACTAGGAAAGATCTGGAAGAGGGTGGAATGCATATCAAACTTTTGCATAAGGCTGTGGAACAATTTCTGCGGCTTCCCTTTGCCAAGGCGCTCTTTTGACTCCCACGTGTATCTTGATGTTTCAACAGCCTTGTGCAGGTCTTCATACGACCACGATTCTTTAGCCTCGTTTGGGAATGCCTTTCGGAGTATGCTCGATAGATATGCACCCTCTCCCTGAAGGACTCGAACCTCCGTGCTAGTACGGGCTCAGCAACCGCCCGGAAGGTACCATTGTCATCCATACCTGGATAAATCGTCATGTTGGAAATACTGCTTCCAGAATGATCTATCTGTTAATGCAGAATCAGGATTGACGCTACTCGGCCCCGCACGGCCAGTTCCTAAGTCCGAAGATGCCAACCGGCCATGCTGCTGCATCAAGTCAGTCGAAGAGGCCATATCGCTACCTGCGGATACAGTAATTTGAGGGAGAAGCGACGTGCAAACAACAGATAATTGAAAGTTCTTCTGCAAGAGGATAGAAAAGCGAGGGGGAATGCGAGTATGCCCGTGCTCCAGCTTTCAACTGGGCTTTGAGCATGGCGCACGAGGCTGTGCAAGATCGGCTACACCCAATTCGACCAAGCGGCTATCGTTGCTCCCACTCGCCAGCCCCCTTGGCAGGCAGTAGAGGCAACCACAGCTCATCAATGCCAGCATGATCAGTGTCTGAGCCGCAATCACGCACTACATGCCTCGACTTGCACAACGCTCTGCTCGCGGTGGCATTGGAGCTCTACAGAACGCTCCGGATGCCTTGTGGCCCCCCGCCGCACCCTCGAACTCCTCAGCCCATGTCTTGAGACTCTAGAAATCAACGTACAGCCATAACAAAGCTCACTACGCCTTAGCACGCGTGACAAGAAAAGCAGAGGAACAACAGAATGCCGCCCCGCGCCGGCACGTACCGATCCTCTCCGCAACCACCCCTTTTCGCTGCTATCGATACCTTGGAGCCCGATAGAGTGTTGGGAAGTCTTGTTGACGATGAGCGCTCAGGACAAGAATCAGATGATGGCATTATACCATTTACTGCACGCTACAGCCGGGCCTCGAAGTCGGCGCAGAACGGCTCTGCTGCCGACGTTGTCATCGGGCGAACAGACTTTGAAGACCTGCGAGCCACAGTTGAACAGCTTGGGTCACAGATGAGCAGTATTGCGGATGTGTTGCGACAAACGCTAGGGAAAGGTGCCACTGGTACTGTACCGAGCGCTTTTGATGTAACAACCGCATTCGATCGAGCACCCACAGATAATATTAAGAAATCTAAAAAGCCAAAGAAACCAAGGGTGTGTTCAGATATTGTTTATTCAGCTGAGGTGTTCCCACATGATGTTCCTGGTCGATCACAGACCCGGACACCAAAGATAATTAAAAGCAAAGATCCTATAAGCGCCAGGCAAAATCGAAGACGGGAGAAATTGACCAAACAATTGGAAGATGCCATTACTACTGGTGACTTTCCAGTATTTGAAGTGCATAAATATCTCTCTGGCGCTAAAATCGGGCGATTTGGACCACGCGCTGTCGCCCTCAGCGGGAGTAGCTCCAGTGATTCGGACGACTCCCGTTATGATGATTATAGGTACGGCGACGATATCCTCGGATACGATGAAAGGGGGTATGGAGATAGAAGATCATCCAACGCCCTAGATGGCTCTTTTGAGATCGTCTCAGAGGGAGGAACGCTCCTCCGTATATACTCCCCTCATATCATGCGAGCTATCGAATCGGTGGCGAGCAACTTTCCAGGAATTGCTCGGGATACTCGGTCTTTGGTGGTTCCAGAGCCATTTTGTGCCCTGTTGTACTTCCGTGATGAGTTATTGCGAGGTGATTCCATTAATATGACCTGCCAAAGTACTCGTCCCCCAGAAAACGGTGACGGCTACTCGGACGGGACAGACTCGGATGCCCAATCCTCCGATGGTGAAGAAGTGACACGTGAAGATGCACTGATTCACATGAAGCTTCTTTATTCCTACCTTGATCGACATTGCCTTTCAGATATGCTTCAAGAAAAAGAGCGCTGGAATCGTGAGATTCCGCTCTGTTCCTTCGAATGGGTGTGGCTGTTATTTCCTCCCGGAGAGCTTGTGTATGAAGGAGGAATTTCCGACACGGAAATGATGCAAGCATATGAGGTCAAGAGTTTCTCCATCGAAGGGCCTTTCAGGTACGACGACGACGATAAACCTATCGTTAATACCAGACGTCTGCGGCGAAGGGATAAAATATCTGCTGGCCATTCCATAAAGAGGCTGAACATCCGAGTAGCATATCGTACACATGACGGCCGCAGAGCTACCTTGAGGACGAAATTGTTCGTGATTTATCCCTTCAAAGGCGAAAAGAGTATACGTGATCTAGAGATCTATCCGGCGAAGCATCTCAAAGATCCAGATGGGAGTATTCGAAGGCGGCTGATTGAACGTGGCCGTCGTTACCAAAGCTTAGCACAAAGAGGTCAGTTCGACTATCATGGGGATACTTTCTCTGGTGTCCGCCGCCGACTGGACACAAGAATCGTCGTCGATTTGGAGACCTATTTCTACGCTTCAAAAGCAACAAATTCGCGACATTTTCAAGCGGAAGAAGACCCTCTCTACCCCCCGCCACCCCGGCCAAGCCGAAGTAGATACGTAATTGACCCGAGGGATCGTTCAGTTTATGACGACAGCGGCTCTGAGATTTCGTACAGAAGGCACCACCGACCTCCGGATCGATGGCGTGGCAGGGCTCCGAAAACCTTCCAGAATACGGCCTCGCTAAAAAGACTCAAGCTATCGTCTGAGGAAGATCTTCCCGATGAGCAGTATCTTATTTGCGTGCCCACAATTCAGGCTTACATTCTCCAGGAACGCCTCTGGGGTAAGTATTCCAAAATTTTCTGTCTCTCATGCCTCATACTTGCCCCAGGGACTGGTGTCCAATCATTAATCGATAAACACAACTTCTCTTTTCGTTCCCGGCTAACCGAGTCTAGAAACCCTCGCTGTCGAATCGATATCCGAATGTGTATACAAGGAGCGCCTCCTTGATGAACTGCAAATCTCCAATGAAGCTCGCCGCTTAGTGCAAGCACTATCTCGGAATTACACAAACAAATTGAAGAACCTAGACTCGCCAGACGGTCCGAATGAGGAGCAACAAACTCCATGGAGCTCGGATTTCGTACCTAATAAAGGCGGAGGTCAGATCATCCTCCTCCATGGCAAACCCGGAGTTGGGAAGACATCAACCGCAGAGTGCTTTGCCGAGCTGAGTCATAGACCTCTTCTCACAATTACCTGTGGTGATCTCGGGACACATGCTTATGAGATCCAACAAAGTCTTGAACGTTGGCTACATCTCGGAACCTTATGGAACTGTGTGCTTCTTTTCGACGAGTCTGATGTTTTCCTGGAGTCGAGGAGCCACGGAGACATCTACCGCAACAGTATTGTGTCTGTCTTCTTAAGAGCGATCGAATATCACACCGGTTTAATGTTCTTAACAACGAACCGTATTGGCAGCTTTGACGAGGCGATCCTGTCACGCATTCACGCCGTCTTGCACCTCCCGAATCTAACAATAGAAAACCGCAGGGAGATCTGGGATACCAGCTTCAGGAAGCTCGCAGAGGAGAGGCCGACCATCAAGGTTGATTTTGCACTAATGAATTATGCTTACTACGACGAGAAGATCCGCAAATTAGATTGGAATGGGAGAGAGATTCGGAACGCATTCAATACGATGATAGCGCTAGCAGAGTGGGACGCACAGCATAATAATAAATACACGAAGGATGGTAAGGTTCTAGTTACAAGGCTTCATTTGGAGGAGGTAGCCACTATGAGTGGAACATTTAAGGAGTATCTAGAGGAGTTGCGAGGTATGACTGATGACGAGCACATGAGAAGTCAGGGGATTCGGGGTATATAAGTAGTCTTTCTCATCCCGTAGTTAAGTAATTAATCGTCCCTTTTAATATATATTATTAGGAGTACTAAGGCTAACGAATAAATTAGGTTAAGCCTCCGTAATATTTAGCTAAAGTCACGTAATCTATAGGCTAAGAGCACCGTTAAGCCTACTATATCTATATTTAGACCGGGTATATTAGGGTTTAGCTAGTAATTTAGAGTAATTCGTCTAACTACCGTATAACGAGGATTCTAAAGCTAAGGAGAGAAAAGAAAAGAGGAAATCTATCTATCGTACGAATAAAGGAAATACTTCCTACCCTCTCCGATAGTAGATTAATATAGTTTCCTAGGAGATAATCGATAGGAAGGAGTTACGTAGCTTCGGCTATATAGTTAACTAAAGGTATATATCCGAGGGATAGGGTTTAGATCTATAGTAGAAGTAGCTAGAGTTAAAAGAGTAAAATATATCGTAGTTTTTTATCTTAGTAAATAACTTAGGATCTATCTAAGTAAAGGAGTATAGGCCTATTTTATATAG